TCCACCTGGGTGAGATACTCTCTGCAGCCCCAAGGCCATCCTTAAGCCATCTTGATGAGCCCCAAGCATACATACACACTCAGGTGTCCATTTTAAACATATTATTTATATTAGGGTTCTCCAAAGAAACAGAACTGGTAGAATGAATATATATATATATAGAGAGAGAGAGAGAGCGAGAGAGAGAGAGAGCGAGAGAGAGAGAGAGCGAGAGAGAGAGAGAGCGAGAGAGAGAGAGAGCGAGAGAGAGAGAGAGCGAGAGAGAGAGAGAGCGAGAGAGAGAGAGAGCGAGAGAGAGAGAGAGCGAGAGAGAGAGAGAGGCTGAGAATCCGTAGTCGCTCAGTCCACAAGGCTGGATGTCTCAGTAGTCCTGATCCGGCTCTGAAGGTCTGACAAATTCCAAAAGATCAGCTAGTCTTCAGTCTATAGGAGCAAGATGAACTTACCAGTGAGAGAGAAGGCAAGCAGCAAGAAGTCAGGCGTTCTCCTCTGCCATGGCCTTTTATACGGGCTGCCATCAGAAGGTAACATGCACATTTAGGGTGTGTCTTCCAGCTTCAGATGATCCAATCAAGATCTCTCTCATTTCAGTTAATCCCAGATCCAGTCAAGTTGACACCCAGGATTACCATCACATTATTATTTTATATGAAAAGCTCTCCTTGTCCAGTGAAACCAGTTCCAACCACATGGGCAGGTAGAAGCTGTCAGCCCTGGGGGCGGGTACATATGGTAGGGATTGTATGTGTTGTGCGTGTACATGAGTGAGTGTGGGTGTCTGTGTACTCTCATGTGGAGGTCAGAGCAGGGCACTGCACATCTTCTATTGCTCTGTACTCTATTGTCTTAAGATGGAGTGTCTCACTGAACCAGAAGCTTGCCTTTTTTTGGTTAGGTTAGCTGGCCAACAAGCTCTTGGGCTCTGCCTATCTCTGTCCCTGATAACGGGGTTGCAGGCACATGCAGCCATGCTCAGCTTACTGCCAAGACTTTCCTTGGTCTTCCCCTAGTCTTCCTTGACGTGTTGTCCCCTCAGCCCTCTCCCCCTTCACTGCCACTGAAAGGGATGGATGGCAATGGTGGAATACACAGTCTGAAGGAAGCACTGTGATTCCATGACCAAAATTTTTGTTTTTGAACTCTTCTTCCAAACCAGCAGGTATTTGGAAATTAGAAAATATTAAATTCTTACCAATGGCTGCTACTATAGATACATTGATTTTTTTTAAAAGATCTGGATATGGAAGAACAAGGAGAAGGAAGAGGAAGAGGAGGAGGAAGTAGTACAGTAATCACTACTAGTAGAAGCACTTCTAAAGGGCTGGAAGTATAGCTCAGTAGTATTGTGCATGCCTCACATGCACAAAGCCCTATGTTTGATCCCCAGGACAAAAAGAAGAAATAAAAGAAAAGAAGAGAAAGGAAAAGAAAAGAAAGCCACTGCTGGAGGTTTTGATTCAGTGAGATGTGGTGAAGTCAAGAGCACAATTCAGCAAGCATTCTTATGTAGCCACATTTAAGAAAGTCCTAGTCTAACACTTTCACTTTGTATCTGTGGAATGGAGTCACAGAAAATTGGTGTTTCACACAATAAACAAGGAAGAAGATTCAATGATGGAAAGATCCGGAAGGTGAGAGTCATATTCTGGCTTCACAGACCATGATAATACAAGTTACCTAACCTCTCTAAATCTGAATGTCCCTATTTACTTAGAACAACCCCTTGGGCTGGTTGTAAGGACCAGTTGATCTGAGTAATTGTACTGTACATACATAAGAAATGCTGATTAATAAACTCTTTAATTTAAAAAAACACTGTGTTGATTAGACTGTATTTATTGGGCAAAGAAATGGAGAATCACATTTCAGAAAGATTGCAAAGTGGTCAAACTATCACAAGGTTCTTTTAATTTCTGGTTAACCTTCAAAATTGCTGTCAGAGCAACTATTCCCATGTTCTGACTGTTTTCATGCCTCATCAAACTCTGTAATTAATGTGCAGCTATGAGTAGATTCAGGGTCAAAAGAGCTGCTTTGACTCCAGAAAAAAATTATTAATAATCAACTCAAGACTATTTCTTCTATGATGTCATTCCTATGACCTTCTGGGAGTGGGGATGCAACTGAGACCAGAGAAATAGTTCCAGAGGCTCAAGGTGAGGAAATGCTGTTCCACAGAGGCAGCAGGAGGCGGTTTCAGGGTGATGGGACCATTCTGCACCCTCGTTGTAATAGTAGTTACAATAAACCTAAAGTGTGCAAAAATTCAGAAACAACAAAGGGAAGCTGTCTGTCTATACATTCACTTAGAACACAGATCAATTGGCCTAACTCAGGGTAACAGCTCTCGTCGCCTAGAAAATAGCAACCCAAAGGGCTGGAGTGTGTGGAGAGGGAAAAAAAGAAAAAATCCGAAGTCCAAGGAGGCAAGCAGGGAGAATGAGAATATGCTCGTGAGGTAACCAACGGCTCTCAGTACTTTTTCATTCCTTTTATTTGACAACTGCTTCCTAGAGACCAATTTTACCTACTTCGGTGGTCCTCTTCCTTCTCTTCCCAAGGGTAAAACTATCCTAATTAATCAGTAATTCTACCCTTTCACCTACAAAATTCTCAACACCAGTCGATCTTTTAAGTTTACTATCCAAATTACAGTATACCCCAACTTTTCTCAGAACACATAACTTCCAGAACAAAGTATTGGTTTGAACATTTCACTTCAGACAGGTCCAGAGGCAAGGCACTGCCTACACTGGCTGTCCTCCCAATGGCCCCTTTTGAGGGTAGCTTCTAGAACTACAACACAAGACAAATCTGTCACTCTCACTTTTCTAGTAACTACCTTTAAAAAGTGAAATAGGGGCTGGAGAGATGACTCAATCAGTAAAGTGCTTGCTGGGAAAGCATGAGAATATGAGTTCAAATCCTCAGCATCCATGTAAAAAGCTGGGTGTGCAGGCTGGAGAGATAGTGGTTAGGAGTGCTCACTATTTTTGCAAACAGCCTGAGTTTGGTTCCCAGAACCAACATGGTGGATCACGACTATGTGTAACTCCAGCTCCAGGAGATTTGATGTCCTCTTCCACCTCCATGGGCTCCTGCACTCACATGGTGCACATAAACTCACACAAGCACATACACATACACATAAAAAAATTTTTTTAAAAGCTGGGTGTGGTGGTGCACACCTGTAAATCCCAGTGCTCAGGAGGTGGAGACAGGTGGATCCCTGGGACTAAAAAGAGGGTGGAGAGTGACTGAGGAAGATACCCAATCAATCTCTGGTCTCTACATGCATGTGTACACACATGTACTAATACTTGCAGACACATATATAAACACACAAAGAAATGCTGGTAGGATATGCTGAATAGGCAGAGGCAAGAGGATCTGGAATTCGTGGCCAGCTTGGGCTACACATTTTGGCTGGGAGTGGTGGCATACACCTTTAATCCCAGCACTCAGGAGGAAGAGGCAGGGAGATCTCTTCGAATTCAGGGTCATCCTGGTCTCCACAGCAAATTCAGGCCGGCTGCAGCTACAGGGAGACCCTGTCTCAAAAAGACAAAAGAAAGAAAAAAGGAAAAGAAAAGAAAGAAGATAGATTTTAATATATTCTATTTAATCCAGTATAATCTTTTGACATGTAATTGATGTAAGTTTTGAAGTAATGAATGTGTGTAAAGGCCATCTCGATTTGGGCTAGCTCCGTCAGTAGCTACCATGATTGTGTAAGACAGTTCAGGTCTAGACTATTCTCTTTTGAAGCCTAGGGCAAACACATTCTCAGTTTGAACTTTGATTGTTATTGTGTATTTGAACTTCTGCCTACATTCTTTCTTCAATTATTGCTCAATACACACTGATATGTCTACAAAGCTCCAAACATCATGCTAGAACCTGGAAATACAAGTATTGTGATAACATGCTGTTTGAGCGAGGGTTCCATCTGTAGGAACGAGAGACACATACGGACAATTAGACAATAATGGGAAAGAAATGTGAGCCTCTGAGGGTAGCACGTAAATGTAGCTTAAGGCGTGGCCCAGAGTGGCTGTCCAGGCTCTGTGATGGGGATGGGAAAGTGCATTCATTCCAAAGGAATGCTTCATCGAAGGCTCTATGGTGAGGGATGAGGGGACCCACGGAGTCACGTTGAAAGGAGGGAAGCAGGAAAGCCTAGTAAGGCAGAGAAGGCCCTAATATGGGCTCCTAAAAAATCCAACAAAATTCCTGAACTTCCTATTGTTTCATAAGTGAACACAGCACTAGATTTAAGCTTTTGGAGGGAACAGAGGGTCTTCCTGAGCCCCGGCCTGGTTGCTCCTCTAGGCCAGGGCCATGTGCCTGGTTAGTCCCCTTAACCCAAAGCTTGTACGCGCCACAGAAGGGTCCCCCTTCTCCTTCAGCCCCACATCGACCCTGGCCTCAGGATGAAGAGTGGCCCCGGCTTCTTCAAGGCGCTGGAGTTCACTACAGGTGGCACTCACTTTTCTTATCAGATGGAGGCTCCAATCACCCACCACCCAGAGCTGCTGTGGTAGCTCAAACGAATTTACGAGAAGCGCCTCGAAAAACGAAGAGAGACGCCCCCGCTGCCCTTGGGCGCTCGCAGACCCGACCAGCCCAGGTGACAGCCAGGCACCGTCCGGCCCCGGCCGCAGGTCTGCAGCTCCGCCCACCCTCGAGAGGACCGGGGTCCCCGGGAGGAGCCACCTAAGGCGGTGCGCAAAGCTGGTCCCGCAGCCTCCAGGGCGGGAACCCGAATGCCGCTGCCTCGCGGATACGGGGGCGCTGCGCCGCACGGACGACCCCGCCAGCGCCCCCCGCCCGGGTCAGCCCCACCTCGCGCGTCGGCGAGGAGAACGGGGTGGAGCGGCCCGGCTCCCGCAGCCAATGGAAGCAGTGGCTTCCTGGTCCGATCCCCGTCGCGGCTTACTATTGGTCGCCGCCTGGGTCTCGGCCCACCGAACCTTGGCGACCCAAGCCAATCACGAGGCGGCGGGCCAGACTTACAAGCTCCCGGGGCGGCGGCGGCGGGCGCGGAGCGGGCCTGGCGCGGAGCGGGCGGCGGTGACAGGCAGGGCGAGCCCGCACCCTCCTCGAGCGGCGCGCCGCGACACCATGGAGCCCGCCGTGTCTCTGGCCGTGTGCGCGCTGCTCTTCCTGCTCTGGGTGCGCGTGAAGGGACTGGAGTTCGTGCTCATCCACCAGCGCTGGGTCTTCGTGTGCCTCTTCCTCCTGCCGCTCTCGCTCATCTTCGACATCTACTACTACGTGCGCGCCTGGGTGGTATTCAGGCTGAGCAGCGCGCCGCGCCTGCACGAGCAGCGCGTGCGGGACATCCAGAAGCAGGTGAGCGGCCGCGCCCTGGACTCGCAGACCTGAGGCGTGCGCCAGCCTAGCGGTCCGCCGGGCGGCGGGGGCGTGTGCCCGGCCCGAGGAGCCCGCGTGGGAGGGGAGTTCGCAGTTGATGGGGAAAGGGACTGCCTGGGGATGGAACTGGAATAAAGCAAACGCAGTGGGGCTGCGAGCACAACCTTGCCCCGAGGTTTATGGAGTGCCCACTGGGTGCAAGGCATGTGCAGTGGCCTGGAAAATGAAAGACCCTAAACACTGAGGAGGTGCGAAAATCGGTAACTCAACCCGGCCCAGCCTTCCTATGGAGGAAGGGCTTCCGGGAGCTGGTGCTGGGGGAAGTCTGGGGAATGGCTCAGGTGGAGATGTGAGCAAAGGCAGGAAGCTGGGAAGCACAGGCAAAGGGGTGAAGACGGTTAGAAAGTCAGTTTGGAGAGGGGCTTTGATGGTAGGACAGAGATGAAAGTTTGGGAACATAAGGCGCTTTGCACGCCTTTACTACAGAGGACTAAAGTGAGAAGGTGGAATCCAGCCCCCAACTCCAAGTTGGAGTCTGCAGATGAGCAGTCTTTCTGGACAGATGCAGTTGTCCATTGCCCTGTAACTGATCGTTCACATAGGCCAACTGCAACCCAGCCTGGGACGCCCTCCTAGTGAAGCCTCCTCCCCATCCAGTGCTGGCGTGGACTCCTTCGGGCTCTCCTTGTGTTCCCCTCTTACTGGCATCAAGCTGCAGTGAGCTTCTGCTTCCTCGTGCTGCCCTCGTAGCAGCTGTCTTCATATTCTGTTTGTTTCATGCTCTGCATGAAGGTGCGGGCAGACTGACCTCCAAACCGGAAGACCATGCTCAGTGAGAGGAGGTGCAGCGTCAGAAGCACTTGGCATTGCTGCCCTGAGTTTTGCTGCTCCTGAGCTCTGCAGTCCTCCCAGCCACCCACTCACTCACTCATTCACTCCCTCCAGCTGCACCCTCTTTCCTGTTTCTTTCTGCAGTTTCAGATTATGCATTTTCTTGCTTGTCTCCCTGGTCAGCTAGAAGACATGGACTGTTACCTGCCTCACCTCTGGCCCCTGGGGCCTTCTCTAGGCTTCTTAGTGAGTGCCCATTAATCTAAACTAAATAGAAGGATGCACAGTGGACAGGATAACAACAGGGCCCTTTGGGTCATACCTTGTGTCATCATGCCAGTTCTCAGAGCCACCTGGTATCTTTGTACCTGTTTTACTAATGGGGAAAAAAAATGAGGTTCAAGTTGTGAGTTATGTTTTCAGAACAGCACAGCTCATAAATAGGACTGGAACTGAACTCTTGACTCAACTGTTTTCCCCATCCTTTCTATCTCACTCTATGAATCTGGTTTTGTTACCTCAAGTCTGGTTTGTTGCAAAGCTTCCTGACTAGTTGCTCCTTTGCTAGGCCCCCCCTACCTCTCTTGAGAATTTGACCAATGGTTTTTCTAGGCCTTGCCTCTGCCCCAGATCCAGTCACCATTCCATCCAACCAATGTTCCAGGCTTGGTGGCATCTACCCTGTGTATGATGCACCGTCCAGCAGCATACCTAGTCCACTCTGTCACATCCTGAGTTTACTTCAATTCCTGGACTGCAGAGTCAGGCAGGGTGTTCATAGAATTCACCTTTCATCTTTACACAGCTCCAGGGCAGCTTCCCCCAGGAAGCCTAATCCTTGACAGGACATTGAGGTGTAGAAAGTCGGTTAAAACTGGTTGGAGCAAAAAGGGGCTGTTCTGGCCATGGTCCTAAAAAGTCTGTAAAACTGACTGAGGTATGGCTCAGGATCCTCCCTCTCTTGTCTGTCTCCAACTTAACTGCTGTCCCTTGGCTCTTCCTTCCCCTGAGTTGACTTCATTCTCAGGGTGGCTGTTTCCCTGTGGAGGCCCTAACAGTTTCTGGCTTAGGTCCAACCAGTATCACAACTTCGGTAAAGAGAGAATACCTCTCCTGAAACCAGACTCATTGGCTTGACTGGGGTTATAGTCCCAGCCCTAAAACTGTCATTGTGGCCAACGGGTAGAATCAGCCTCACCTGGATTCAGGAAAGAAGAACTTGAAGCAGATGGAGAGGAAAGGATGTGTTTGGATGTCCAGACTACACATGTGTGTTACTCCTGTGCTTGTTCATCTCTCCAAGGACAGGATACCTCTTCCTGTGTTCTGGACGAGCACATCATCCTCTGCACCCTTTTGGCTGTGGTCTCAAACTATGGAGATTTTTTCTAGAGTAGTTCCTTCCATTGGCTAACTGCTCCTTTTCCTGTCTCTTTTCTCCCCATCAAAGTGGTACATGAGTTAAAGTGTATGAGTGCTTAAAATGGGGCTGGGCATGGAGTAAGCTTCTATAAGTTCTTCTGTGGACTAAACTCATCTGTCCTCCTGGCTCTGCAGTCATACAGTCTTGGCTGAAAATCTGGACCCTGCCAGTCATGGGTTGTATGGTCTTGGACAAGTAATTTGCCTGAGTTTCCTCATCTGCAAAAGGGGGTCACCCCAACCTCCTGGGGTTATGAGAATTAACAAAACAGTGTACAGTAGGCACCTAGTAGGGTAGGTGCACCAAGGAGATGATAATCCTTTTTTATTTGCTCTATTACTGCTGCAGAACCCTTCCTGAACTCCCAGTTAATGTTTTCAAAACAATCTAACTGCTGTGTAGTAGGAACATGCTGGCTCTTCTGTTGGCCTTGTGAGTCAGGGAGAAGTACAGGGTAAGACCCGCAGGCCTTTAAGCCATCCTCCCAACCAGTGCCTGGGTAAAGTTGTCTTTCCTAGCTCCCTCTCCCTGAAAGAAGGGCTGTGAGCAACTCTGGGGATCCCATTGGGGCCAGCTCAGCCTTGTCCTGTGGTTGCAGGTGCGAGAATGGAAGGAACAGGGCAGCAAGACTTTCATGTGCACAGGGCGCCCAGGCTGGCTCACCATCTCACTGCGGGTTGGGAAGTATAAGAAGACACACAAAAACATCATGATCAACCTGATGGACATTCTGGAGGTGGACACCAAAAAACAGGTGAGAACGCTGGGGTATAGCACAGTGGTAGGGAGTTTGCCTAGCATGTACAAGACTGTGTTAGTACATCCCCAGTACTAATCCCCAGAAAGAAGATCAAGGAAAGAAACCAGTGAGAGGGTGCTGTACTCTGTCTCTGGGAGCAGGTAGGTACTGCCTCTGGTGTGAGTAACTCAGAAGATGAGTTCAGTCAAGGGCATCACAGAGTGGATAGGACCAAGGTCCAAGGCCATTAGGAAAGACTCTGCCAACTATTGCTATCCTGCCACACCTCACAGCCACCAAGACGAGACTGGCCGGCCTTAGCAGTCATGCAAATTGAGAACTCATGCAAATTGAGAACTCCAGGGGATCTTTTGATGGCTTTCATTCTATAGAGAGTCAAGGATGGAGAAATCACAGACAAAAATGAGAGATGAAGGGAACCTGGTAAGAAAGTATGCTCGGAGACTGGAGAGATGGCTCAGTGGTTAAGAGCACCAGTTGTTCTTGCAGAAGACCCAGGTTCAAATCCTAGCACCTACGTGGCAGCTAACAACCATCTGTAATTCCAGTTCCAGGGAATCTGATGCCCTCTTCTGGACACTGCATGACAAGGGTGCACTTACATACATGCAGGCACTACACTCATACAATAAATAAAATATTAAGAAAAAGAAAATATACTGGTTAAAAAGGGGGGAGAGGCTACAAAAATAGCCAGGAGGAAGGGGTCCTTGACACGAGCTTCCTAGAGACTCTCTTATTGAATAGCCCAGAGATCCAGCACCCTTTGCTCCACCTAGTAATTCTGCTTCTTAACTCCTTCTCAGCCTTTTAGCTTCAATTAAGTGTAGTGATTCTGCTTCCCAAAAACTAGCCGAAGGAAAGGAGAATTAAACACAACTGTAATCAAAGGTCTTCAGCACACAGAGATTTGATTATACCTTTATTTCTGTTTTAAAAATATTTTATTTATTTTTTATGTGTATAAGTGTATTACATGCATGTATATGAGTGTACCCATGTCATACAATGCCTCAGATGTTAGAAGAGGGCATCAAATTCCCCTGGAACTGGCGTTAAGGAATGTTGTTTGCTGCCATGTGGGGACTGGAATTGAACCTGGGTTCTCGGCAAGAACAGTCAGTGCTCTTAACCACTGAGCCATCTCTCCAGCCCCTATGTCTTTATTTCTGATAGAAGACGATGTCATTTCTGGTAGTAAGAGAATCATTAAATCCAGTGTATCCACTTGATAGCATTTCATTATTGTGAAAACTGTGACTTCTTTGAAGACAACTTTGTTGATGTGTTCTTAGTGTATAATAAACTGCACAAATTTAAAGTGTGCAACTGGGTAATTTAGATGTATTCTGACAGGCCTGTACCTGTGAAACCATTATCAAAATACAGAACCTACCCACCTCCCTCAAGAGTTTCCTCATTCCTCTTGGTAATCCTTTCCTTAAACCCCTCTCTGCCTCTTCCACCCATACCCTTAGGCTAACAGTGATGTGCTTTCTGTCATGATAAATTAGTCTGTATTTAGAGTTTGGTGTTATTGACTGTCTTACAGTATAGTTATGTGCTTTTTGAGTCTGGGTTCTTTAATGATTATGTTAAGATGTATCCATACTGAGGCATGTAGCTGTGACACATACCATCTTGCTGATGGAGAGTATTCTTTGCATGGACAGATGAGTTTATCCATTTACCTGCTTATGGACATCTGGGCTATTTCCATTGAGACTATTATAAAATTAGTGACTAGGAATATTTCTGAACATTTTTCTAGACATAAAGTCTTTCCTTGGGGCTGTAGAGGTGGCTGAGTGGCTAAGAGCATGTTTTGCCCTTGCAGAGGACCTCAAGCTCAGTCCCCAGTACCTACATCAGGCCCCTCACAACCACCTGCAGCTCCAGCACCAGGGGATCCGATGGACAACTCTGGGCTTTGCCGGTACCTGCACTCATGTGTGCATATCCCCATCACATATTCAAAATAAATCGAATAAATAAATCTTTAAAAAAAAAAAAGTCTTTCCTTGGACAGATACTTAGAAACTTCAGAATAGAATGCCTGGGGCATTTGACTGGAGTATGGTTATTTCTCTTCTGAGAACTTTGTCAAGTTGTTTACCAAAGGGGTTTCAGTACTGAAAGTCTAATGAGCAGTGTGTGTTCTTGTTGCCCTAGGAACGTGGTGTGTCAGTACTGATTTTAGCCACTCGGTGTGTGCTGGCATCTCAATGTAGTTTTAGTTTGCATTTGCAAAATGACAAAAGATCTTGGCCAGCTTTCCAAGTGTGTATTTGCCATTGGTATATCATCTTTGAGGCCTGTTCTAATCTTTTGCCAATTAAAATTTGGTGGGTTTTTTTTTTGTTTTTTTTTGTTTTTTTGTTTTTTTTTTGTCTTTTTTGAGACAGGGTCTCCTTGTAGCCCCAGCTGTCCTGGAACTCACTGTGTAGACCAGACTGGCCTCGAACCCACAAAGATCCGCCTGCCTCTGCCTCTCAAGCGTTGGGATTAAAGGCATGCGCCACCACGCCTGGCCATATTTCTTAATCTTTAACCGTTGACCTAGTGTTTCTTTATATTTAAAGTGTGTTTCTGTTATAGGGGACATAGAGTCTTGCTTTTCGTCCAACCTGATTACCTCTGCCTTTTAATTGAGGCGGTAAGACCATTGGCATCTAACGTCCTTATTGATGAGGCTTGGTTTGAATCTCACTTGTTTGTTTTCTAAGTATCTCCCTCGTTTCTTCTCTGTTCCTTTTTTCTCTTCCCTGTGTTCTTCTGCATTACCAAGTACTTTTTATGATTCGGTTTTTGCTGTCTTTAGCTTTCTGGCTGTAACTGTTTTGCTATGCGACTGTGCTAGGCTTATAGTATTCATTCTACTCATCACAGTCCACTTTCCAGTGGTATTTCATTTCACATACAGTAAAGATCTTACAATGATATATTTCCATTTCTTTCCTCTCATCTTTTATACTGTCATACTTTTGCCTAATATAAGCTCCACACTCCACTGCCTTTGTTTACAGTGTTTCTGGCAAGAAATCTGTCATCTTTTAAGATGTGTTTTATTTTTTATTTATGTATGTGCATGTGTGTCTCACATGTGTGTGGGTACCCACAGCGGCTAGTAGAGGGCATCTTCTGTCAAGAGTGGGTCTGTTTTGTTTGATTGGTTTTTCTCCTCCTTGAGTTCTATTTTCCTGCCTCTTCACATGCCTGTAATCTTTGTTGGATTCTGGCATTGTGACATTTTCCTTCGTGGCTTTTGGGTATTGCATTCCCATACATCTTGAGCCTTTATTTCTAGGAGGCAGCCAAGTTCCTTGAAAATAGTTTAACCCTGTTGGGTCTAGATTTTATTAGGTGGAACTAGAACAGCATTTAATCTGGGTTAATTTTTCCCCACTGTTGAGGCAAGACATTCTGAGTAGTCTATCCAAAGCCTCATGAATCAAGAAGTTTTCTAGACTGGCTTATGGAAACGTATTATTTCCTGCCCTGGGTGACCTCTTGGTATCTTTACCTGTTATCTTTCCTGATGGTTCTTTTCCCTGGCCTCAGCCTTAGGTGATACCAGTATTAAGTTTGTACCAGTCCAAACTGAGTTAATATGCAATGATGCCCTTTGCAGTTCTTCCAAGTTCTCCCTGCAGTGCTGTTCTCTGATACACTGTCCTGCAAGTTCTTTTCACCTTGGTCTTCAGGGACTCTCATCTGGAGCTCTGCAACTCATTACACAGGCTCCGTCCTGGTCTCTTTTAATATAAACCCCTTAACCCTGGGCAGGTGGGGGTTTTCACAGCACTCGGCTTGTTTGTTTCCTGTCTCTCAGGGATGGTTAACTTTCTTGGCCTATTGTGGTCATGGTCTATCGTGTTTCATGTATTTTATCTAGGCTCTTTTCTTCAGACAGCAGGGTAAATCTGATGCCTAGTGCTCTGTCATAGCTTGAAATAGATGTACGTGTGATAGCACATTAAGCGGCTCATGAAAAATTGTTTTTACAAGAATATTTAGTGATAGAGGATGATGATTGCAGTTTAGTGCTGAATTTTTTCAGTGTGTGGTGTGCATGCATATGTATGCGTATTTGTATGAGTGTTGGTGTACATGCATGTAGGGGTGCCGGTGTGTGCAGAAGCCGGAGGCTAGCATTGATGTCTTCCTCATTGACTCTCCACTGGATGTATTGAGACGGGGTCTCTTCCTTGAACCCAGAACTCATCAGTTTGCTACCAGTTTGCTCTGGGAATCCCATCTGTACCTCCCATTACTGGGGGGGTTACAGGCAGGTTGCCACATCCACCCAGTATTTGTGTGCATGCTAGGAATTCGAACTCCTGTCCTAATGCTTGCCCGGCTTGCATTTTACCCAACTGAGTCATCTCCTTGGGACCTAGTGCTAAGTTTTTAATAGTCATGACAATGTATATGGGCGGGGGGGGGGTTGGTACTT